TGGGGGGGCATGTCCCTGAGGCCTTGGGATTGAAAAGCGGATCAGGGGTGAAAAACTACGCCAGATAAATCCTGGGAGGGGTCCGGGAACCGATTTTGAGCAGAATTGGCCTCCTACCTTCGCTGACCGCTTTTCTAGTGTCCCAACCAGTTTAGACCCCCTGGCCGCCTCCGATTTTCATTGTCTGCTGATCACGCGATCAGCGATCACCTTTTTCAGTGATCGGGGGATCACGTGATCGCCGACCGCATGCTCGATTTGGCCTGGCCACGCGATCATCCGAGCTAGAGTGCGTGATCGATCCGTGATCGGCCGAGTGAAATCAGTAAGGCTGGGGCACCTGGAGCAGCGGGAGTTCACCCGCGCGCTGAATATCTACCGCTCCCTCGAGCGCGAAGGGTCCGACAGGGCGTTCACCGAAGAGCTCTACTCCGCGTTCATCCAGTCGGCAGTGCGCGTCGGGAAGCTGGACGTGGTCGAGCGCATGCTATGGGCCATGAAGCGCTCGGGCGTGCCGGTCTCGCTGGGCTTCTGGCAAACGACGCTGAGGATGCTGTCGAGCAGGAGTTGGGGAACGAAACATAGCGTAAACACAACAACTCGGAGGTCCGCGCGAATCCCAGACGTCCGTGCGGGCCTACGAGTTTTCTGTTTCTGTCACTCCTCGCTCCCCGAAGGAAGCACTTCGGCGCGTGCCTGGCGGCGCACCAGGTGTTCGGCGACAAGATTCCCCAGGACAAGGTCGCGTACTCCTGCCTCATCAACGCCGCGCTCGAGGCGGGTACCCCAGAGCGGGCGGCGGCGATGCTGCCGCGGTTCTCGGGGGCCGATCTGGACGCCAAGGACTCGAGCAGGGGATCGAGGCCAGAATTGATGTACCCCAAAGTTCATTCGCGAGTCGAATCTAAGAAAAAAGCGCACAAGGCTTGTAGCTCTACGAAGGTGCTACGCATGTGTTGTACCGTCGACGAGGACATCAGTTTGGGGCAAGAGTCACCTGGAAGGTTCGTCTGTCGACGGGAGATGATACGCATGTCTCGTAGATCTGGCAGGAAAGTCAAGTTTGAGGTACACCGATTTTGCATGCGATTCCCTACTCGAAGGACCACGTGCTCCTCTTCCGCGTCTTCGGCGCCCTGGGGGACGTGGACTCCGCGGAGGCGACGTTCCGACGGCTCTCGGCCACGCGCAGATGGGGGTACGGGGGAGCGGGGAAGGCTTCTCAGACGCACCCCCTGCTTCTTAGAAGGCGCGGGCCTTGCCTGTGGATGTGAGGCCCGCCCCTTCGAAGAAGCTCAGAGGAGGAAAAGGTACCCATACCTCTGCCCTTCCCTCGTTTTCCCCTGTTTGGGGCCTCCCCGGAGGCCCTCGTCGCCACCGCCGGATTCGGCCCCAAAATCCTGGTCAGGACACACCCCGGGGGAGGTCCGGGGAGCAGCGGTGCCGGTACCTTCTGGTTTCCCCAGAAGCGGCCTCCGTCTACGAAGCTTTCCCCCTTCTCCCCCTGCCCCCCTTATTGCGCGCCGCCGAGGCTCGGCGCCAGCGCCAGCAGCCTGATGCTCAACCTGCTGCTGCTGGCCTGCGCCAACGCGGGCCAGCCCGAGCGTGCCGCCCTCATCCTCGGCGACGCGCACGGGCTCGAGAAGGGCCAGGAGGAGCGGATCGTCGACGTGGTGTCCTACAACACGGCGATCAAGGTCAAAAGGGGGAGAGAAAGGCACCCAGACCCCGACAATTGGCGCTCACTAGGCTGAGCGGCCCCGGGCGTTGACTGAACAGCCTTGCCCTGTTCGACTCCTTCCTGGAATGCGTTTGCTGGGCGGTTTCGCTTGTCGGGGTGCCTGGAATGGGGGTGGTTGTTCTGCTCTCTGCAAAAGGGGTTCGCCCAGGCCGGCTCGGTCCACGGGTGTTTCAAGTGCTTCCACGCCATGATCGAGCACGGGCTGGAGCCTGACGGGATCACCTTCTCCACGCTCCTGGACGCGTGTGTCGAGCACAGCAGCGTGGGCTCGACCAGGAGCATCGTGGACGCGCTGATCGCCGGGGGCAAGGATCGGCGGCGAGCCAAGGGGGGAAGTGAGGAGGAGGAGGCCTTCTCAGAAGGCGGCGGGGCTGCTCAGAAACCCTCGCGCCTTTTGAGACGTGTTTTGCGTCCCCGGGGAAGGCTTGGACAACTGTTCGGAAGCCTGGGGAGCTTCCGAGCCTTCTGAGAAGGCCCGCCCCTGCCAGACATCCGACGTCTCGATGTTTTCGAGATGGGCACCTGACCTCCCGACCACTTCCCCGAGCCCGAGGCCCGGCGAGGGCCCCGAGAGGCCGAAAACGACGAAAAACCAACGTCTTGATTTGTTCGAAACGCCCGATGGCTGGGTTTCTCACATCCCCCCTGGGCAAGCCGCCGAAAGGAGAGGGCCAGCACAGTGTGCATGTTGTTCCTCAAGACCCTCGTGCGGGCCAGCCGCCTCGCGAAGGCCCTGGAGCTCTACGACGACATGAAGGCAGGGTCGACCCCGACCCGACCGCTCCGATTCGACACCGGTTGCCCGAGGCGGGGATTTATACACGGCCACCGCCTGGAGGATATAGGTATACATACATACATCGATAAATTCAGGAATCATGGTATTTGATTGGGAATGTGAGTGAGGTTGAGCGCGCAGTGCTGTTGTATTGTTACATGCGCGACTGACGCATGACAGTTGAATTGTGGAGGGCCGTTTTGGCTCAATGTTTGTTGATGAGGAAAGTATCCAAGTCCCTCCCGAGGCATCCGTGGATCCCAGCTCCGCAACAGAACATACTTTCAAGTTATTCGGACAAGTTTATATCCAAGCACTTGCATGGTAACGTAACTGGTTTCTGCTCTCATGGGTGGTTTGGGCCTCGTGGACACGCGCCTGCTCGGCATTCTGAACAGATACAGCGGCCATCGGCATGAGTTTCTGGCAGTCAAATACCAGCTGTTGAGTTACCTGGGAGGAGCGATTGCCCCGAGACTTTCGGCAGCGGCGACGAGTGCTACAACCCACGGCACGATCACTACTCTGGCCGAGATGGGCGAGGATATTCAGCAGCTCGTTCACACGATGAGCAGCATTCTGTCGCAGCTGCTCACGGGCAGTGCGCTCACCTTTTGTCATGAATTCTGAAACGGGAAACGGCTTTGAGCAGTGGCGGAAATTGTGCTTACGAGAGGATGCGGCCACGAGTTCCAGCAATGTCCAGTGGGACATTTGCCTTGTGGAACTGACCAAGTTCTTGGTGGACATCAGCAGGTACCAGGAGAAGATATGTGATATTACACGCGGCACCTTGGTGCAGGTTCCCACAAAGATGAGCACGCTCGAGCCATTCAGGACACAGGTGATGATGCAGACTTTCGGATCATACGCGACCTTCAGAGAGACCTGCGAAGCTTCCGCGCAACAGATGCGTCAGAAGGACGCGACAGCCGCCACGAATAATGTTGACCCGCACGCCATGGACGTGGACGTTTTGGTCAAGGGCGGCTACGACCCCAAAGGGAAAGGCAGAGGACAAGGCGGCAAGGTTGAGTCCAAAGGTGGAAAAGTCGAGCGGTCATCGAGATTCAGGTGGCGAGGGCAGCAAGGGAGACAAGATCAGCAACAAGGTGGCAAGATGAAGAAGGGTGACGCGAAGTTCTTCGACGGCTGGCTTTCGAGCCCACACTGCGGCAAGCACAGACACAAGATGGCAGACTGCAGAAAGTACGGAGGAGGTGCTCGCTAGCATGGAGGAGGTCAGCAATCCGTAACGGGAGGCCAGCAAGAGACGCATCCAACGTCACCGCTACAGCTTGGACCGGACCAAGCAAGGACGGTCCACCCAGGATCATCTACTAGGCGACCTGGGAGCACCACCGCTGCCTTGCCAGAAGAAGACGCTGGATAAGCTGGCTGGATTTTCGCGTTCACGGACGGACGAGAGGAGAAAGACGAATGCGAGATGCTCGCGGACAGTGGCGCACGCGCGCATGTTGCACCGAGGAATATCAAAGATGGGGTGCGCGCGCACAGGCGAGCATGGTCAGCCACTACGATCGACCACGGGCGAAGGCGTTTGTACATGGGAGCAGCGGACCCTGACTGGAGAAGTCGACGATTCGGAAACGAGGATCCTTGCGGAGCTCAATGTCACGCCAGTAGAGGTTCGACGCAGAGTTCTTTCGGTTGCAGAGATGAACGATGCAGGATATCCAGTTCGCGCGGACGCAGATGGCGCCAAGATGCCCAAGAGCAACCAGACTGCGCAGCACAATTTACACACGGCAGCGCAGGACACTGTTGCGATCCACCTTCGTCGCAAGTTGAACGCGCCCCTCCTGCCCACGATGTCCAGGGGCGCTGCAGGGGGCGAGGCCGCCATCGGCGACGTCGAGCAGCCTGAGTCGGCCGACGTCGAGACTAGTGGAGCCAAGGGGGAGGTCGGCAACAGTGGGGCGGCTAGTTCACGAGATGGCCCTCGCGGCGCCGCAGAGAGCGTTCGAGCAAAGTCGAGGGGGGGAGGGGGGGGGGGGGGGCGCCCGTCGCGCCGGGACTTTCGAGGCCCGCGCGTGCACCAGGGGAACGTGCCAGAGCGCGCCGTCGGAGGGGGCGCATGCCATTCGAGCCTCGGCGCCAGGATTGCGCGACGGGGGGGGGGGGGGGGGGGGCAAGAAGATCCTCGCCGAGCACGAGATCCCAACGCATCGGCTACACGAGTGGCCCAGATCGACCACGGGTTTCTAGGCCAAGGCGAGGGCGGAGCTGGACGGAAGCGCGCCTTGGCCGTCGGCGAGGATCGCAGAGCGGGCTACCCCGTGCGAGTGGCGGTCGAGGCGAAGGGCGGCCAGAGCTACGCCAAGGCGGCCGTCGCAGCGAGTATCTGGACGAGCTCGGCTACATGCGTGCGGGGGCGCAGTTGGATGGCGGACCAGCCCCAGGGTCTCTTGTGAAAGGAGTACTCGCCGATCGAGTCAAGAAGCTCGAGAAGGAGTTGGCCGAGGCACGGCTTCGGCCGCGTCTGGTCGAGAAGGGCAGTCGCGCGCCCCGTGGCTCGGTGGACAGCGTAGTCAAGACGGCGACCGTTCTGGCGAGCACAGGACGGCTGGCTCTGGAGACGCAGTGCGGCATAAAGTCCACGGAGGACGCGCCCGCCACCCACTGGACGATTCGCCACCAGGTGTTTCTGCTACAACAGGTGCCGCTGGGGGAGGAGCAGTGGTCGCGCGGTTTTGGAGGAGCTGAGGTCGGCGTCGCACACTTCTCCGACGCTGGAGTCCGGGGGGGCGGTCATCGGCAACGGGCGCTCTGAGCTGACCGACAAGCTAGGCGCTGCCCGGTGCAAGGGCGCGCGGCTCGGACGAAGCAGCAGGTGCAATTCGCTTTTCAATCGGCGCGGCCACAGGGGCAGCGCGAGCGAGGGCGGCCAATCGGCTGACCCAGGGGGAGAGCTACGACATGGAGATCATGGAGGTCGTGCGTTGGACGCCCTGGAGGACATCGGTGAAGGCCGACGTCTACGAGGGCGAGAATAGGCATCCGACGGAGGGGCGCCCCGGGCGCGGGCGCGCGGCTGAGGGTCAGCACGGGCGAGGGCGACCGCCGCGCCATTCGCGGGCGCGCCAGCAGCGCCAGGCCGAGCGCGAGAAGCAGATCGCCACGAAAGGCGAGGGGCGCCCGAAAGTGGTCACGGCCCCAGCGCCCGCGGCTGATTCGGGAGCTGAACGCGGCGAGCAGCGAGAACAACCGCCGGCGGATCGCGGGCCGGGCCAGGCCCCAGATCGCGTCGGAGAAGTTGAACGTCAGGCGCAGAGGATCGAGCGGAGGCTTCGCGGCAAGCAATAGGCCCCAGCTCCAGGAACGCCAGGAGCAGGAGGACGCGCAGCAGCTGAAAGCAGATCTTGAGGAAGGAGGCCCTGGAGGTCCGCCTGGTAGCAGAGGTCTTGCGGGGGCCATCGAAGCGTTGACCCGCGGCGAGCTTAAGAGATTCGCGGCTGGCTTCAGCATCGAGGTGACGACGAGGCTGGCTGCGGAGATCAATAAATAGCTGAAGGAGAACAGCGATGACCGCATCGCCACGGGCTGGACTGAGAACGACGAGTGGGGGGGGTAAAGCAGAGCGAGCTGGATCAGTTCGGCAGCTACAACGCGTGGGAGCTGGCGATCAGACATCCGAGCGGATCTAAGGCGCCCGCGTGGACCTGGGTTCTAGAGACGAGGAGCAGCGAGCTCTGGGCGGTGCTTCTTTTTTTTTTTTGCGAGACCATTCGACAAGCATACCGGCAAGAGTAAGAAGGGGCTGGGCTACCCGACGCCTTTCGTCTTCACTGAAGTCGCTCATGGTCTATGCTGTTGTGAAAGGTTTCGCAGTTTACTTGATCGTTATATCGCGGGCATTTCTGCGCGCGCCGAGTCGGGGGCGGTTTTGCGCGGAGGTCCCGAAGGATGATTGTCGTCTTCCTGACTAGCCCGATTGGGCTTGCAAGCTCAACTGGACAGCTTCTAGACTCAACGAGGCGATGGTGGATGTAGACGACCACGTCGAGAACATTGCCAGAAGACGGAACGATGACTCAAGACCGTCTAGCAGGAGGTTCCTCTCAGACCCCTGCACGTTCGCAGACAGGGCGAGTCAAATCGCCATGTCCAAGCATGTTGACGACGGCACGCTGGTGGGTCCAAGGCAGAACGCAATCAAGGCGCTGGAGGAGTTGGGCGCGCACTTTCTTCTGTTCAAGGTTTCGGAGCTCACGGTTGGAGGTCCTGAGATCAAGCATCTCGGCTGGAGAGTGACAGCCCCAGCGCCCCCACGAACGTCGAGAAGAAGAGAGTCGGCATATTGCGACGCATCGAGCTGAAGGACTAATGGATCATGGATCTTGTGGCGCGCAAGCAGGAGACGAAGGTCAGCGCAGGAAAGATCCACGCAAACGAAGACACCGCAGATATTGGAACGACGCACTTGCCAGTAAACGATTTCACGAAGCATCTGGACGCGACGGGGGCGCGGCTCACAGGCAAAGGATATGTCGGTGGAGTCGCGAGTCCGAGTGAGGAGAAGAAGGGCCAGATCGGTAAACCTGCGCTGAGGCACCCACGCGTTGCCTGGTTGGGCTTGTCGCGTTTTTGCAGCTTTGGCGCGCGGAAGGCCCAGCTGTTACTACTCCGGACTCCCAGGCAGCCGCGATCATGGGCCAGAGCACGGAAGGCCACTTTTGCAGTGGATCCGTGGCGATCTACATGGCGATGGCGAGCCTTGTGGCCGACGTCGTCGCGGTCAGTCTCAGCTACAAGGACGGCGAGTTTCTAGATCGCAAGTGGCAGCTTGCACGCGAGGGCACCTCGAAATTCGTGAAAATTGCAGCTGCGCAGTACAGCCTGAAGGACGTGATTCAGTTTTCCGAGGCCGCGGAAGTTGTCGAGGAGCAGCTACGATCAGTGTTCATGGCGATGGCGATGACCACAGATGAAGGGCGGGAGTACCTACGCAGAAGGAGGA